CTTGTGACTAGATTACCCCGTTGTCCTCAGTGATTGTAGGCTGAACTTTTCTGTCATTTGCAAGCAATCTGAAAAGCACCTGTTTTTTCTGTAGGATAATGGTAATGGAACATGTCAGTAAGCCTCAGCTTTGGAATATCTTTAACCAAATCACCATGCATTCCCAAGATGTCCGGCACCATCGCTTCTGTTTGCGATTACTGTTGAAGAACCCAGACAATCATGCACTGTGTGTTTTAAATGGCCACAATGCTTTTGTGTCCGGTTGTTTCAAGCACGCCCTTGGTATGATTTTTACTGTTATTAAAAAATTGCAATTCCAGTATGTAGAATTATGTCTTGTGCATGAAACTGGAATACTAGAAGCTGTGGTTTTACTATTTTGCAAAAACAAAAATGGAGAATAGCTGCTACCAATGCTTTGGATTAAAGCAGGACCATTTCATCATTCTATGATGAAACAACAGAGGGGATAAGTGATGGACAGCAACCTCATCAATATGCCTTGTGGTAAATGAGGGCTTTGTGATTTGTCATTCCCAACTTGCCCATATGTAGTGGAGTTTTCCCACTCGATAAGCAAACTCCACTACAACCATTCTGTCAAAAATGCCCAGGCTGTTTTTTATTAAACTTCAAAAAGTAAAACGGTCCATAGATGTACTGCTGGTTTAAATTTATTTGAAAGCTTTTTCAATTAAATATATGTAGTAATAAATGACATTCCAAAATCTTCGCTGCTTGTTTTTTTGCAGGACAATATGTACAAGCGTTCCGTACTAACCCAGATGAACCCCTATATAGTCTTTGCATAGGCTTGATCTTCATCCACATGGCATCTCAGAAGTATGTGTTAAAAAGGCATGCCCTCATAATACAGGTCTGTTGTCTTTCTCTCACAACTTTCACGTGCACACCCTTATCTCATGCTAAACGGCGTAAAATTCCCTTCAAATTTATTTAGGCAAGTCTTCAAGAATTGACTGTAAAAATAATCCATATATTCTTGTAAAAGTTAAATTGCATGAAACATCTTTTATGTTTGGTGCTGGGTTGTAAGCAGGTTGATCAGTATTATCAATTGTTCTGGGAATGTTTATTTTGTTTTTCCTTTTGGTGCAGTGTTTCAGAAGAAAAGATAATCAACAATATCTTTCAATCCCATTATTATTTGTTATCCACATTTTCCAAGACTTATAAACTAGTGAAGTTTAATAGTCTTACTGATGGGAGATGTACTACTGCAAAATACTTTGTGGAATATTTATGTACAACATTGTGGGGACTGATTAAATGCCATCATTTAATGATGTCAACTCCTAGTGAGCACATATATTTTTTCAATGGTGCTGGTTCTGTTTTTCTCTTTCCTTCCATCCTTCCCAGAGCCTTTTCCAGAGAGCTAATCTTCACACAGTATGTTCAAAGTAAGATAATTTGAGCTTCATCATTTGTGTCTCGAAAGAAAATTCTAGGTTGATAATTCCATAATCCATTTTTCTCGGCTGCCTGTGGTATTATCAGAAGTCTTCTCCAACACTAAATTTCCAAAGCTTCAATTGTCTTCCTAGCCTCCTGCTTCAAAGTCCAGCTTTTGCTTCCAAAGTGTATCATATGGAATAATATTACTATAAGATATTTTACTGTATTTAATGGTGGCCATGTGTGAATTTAAGTCTGACAATATTACTTCTGATGTCTCAATTGTTACTTATAATTTTTAATTTTTGCACTGGTGAAGTTTTCCTTTTGTATTTAGGGGTTTTCATTCCTGCAACGATACCTGAGCCTTCGTGGTTCTTGTCAAGAATCTTATTACAACTTAGGACGTGCCCTTCATCAACTGGGATTAGTACATCTTGCTATTCACTATTACAAAAAGGCCCTGGAATTACCTCCATTGGTCCTAGAGGTACTGTATGGAACAGAATTTGATTAGGATTTGAATGTTAAGACACATGAACATTTCCACAAAATGCCACCCTCTATGGGCTCACCTATTTCTGTATCCCCCATTTCCAATTCTGTTTTCATCACCAGTAATAGACAGAATATGCATACCCATGTTGGCATCTTAGGATAATTATGCAAAGGTGTTTATAAAATATTTATGTTTTTAACTCTGACATGTTTGTTAGTTTAAACATGTGAGACTTAAAACCATGCATATTTTATAAAGTGAATGTCGACTGTCCCATAAACTTCTTGATGAAAAGAATAACAAATCAGCATTTGACAAGCTTCCCCTTTCAGTTGGATCCCCCACCATCATCCACAGTTTCAATTTGGCCATTCATATATCCAATGCCAAATTTCTTCCCTTTTATGTCTTTAAGTATTTATGGTTTTCCTGATAGCGCTGATACAATTCCCCAAACTGTTTGGAGGGAACCTGCTTTGTCTTCTCTGGCCTATCCCACAAAGCATTTATGATTCCAACCTCTGCTCTGAAATTTAAGAAAATCGTAACTAAAACCAATATATTTTACTACTGTTCCAAGTGTGGTCACATGCCATTTAAAACCTTTGAAAAGACCGAGCAGAATATAGTCAATTTTGCAATATGCTGAGGTAAAAGATTTACCCCTACTTATAGTTGTTTTCGAAAATTCCAGAAAATGTAATTACCATATTACATTTCCATGTGCAGGATTTTTTTTTCAAAATTAAACTATTCTAAAGATTTGGATTCAGGGAAATACAATATTTGTTTATTGCTGACTGGAAACTGCTTATGTTTTTTTTCCATATCTAGAAAAAAACTAACTTATAATGGTTTTGATGATTAGATAAGATAGATTATATAAAGAGTCCATGTTGTAACCATAGAATAAGTGTACAGTTAAAATTCTATTTATAACACTATAAAGCAGATTGGTAGCATCTTATTTGTATCTTTTTCTATTCTATTTGTCTACTTTTTTTTCCTTTCTGCCTTTTTCTTCCTTTCTTAGATTTCTCTGTGTTTTAATTTTTCTTAGTTTATATTTCTTTTTAAACTTCCTTAAATTTTTTTAAAAGTAAATAATAAATTCATATATAAATTTATGTACATGAATTCTGGGAAAAAGATATTTTGTGACTTGTTAAAATAGATTTTTCTTCTTTAAACTAGGGAATAGAAGCTGACCAGACAGACTTACGAAAAGATATCGCCTTCAATTTGTCGCTCATTTATCACAGCAGTGGAAATATTCAAGTGGCTCGCAAACTGTTGTATACATACGGAACTGTATGAGGACAGTTATATACTTGGTCAGTGAGATGAATTCCTTTCCTTGATTCTAAAGGAAAAGCAGTTCTATAAACAATGTCTGCTTTTTGCTTTTATGAGGAGACTTGGAAGAGACTGATGGAAGAATGATCAAGACAGAGACATTATGAATGGACTCCAGCCTTTGAATCATATAATTCAACACTCTGATTCTCCTTAAAACTGAATGAGAAATACAAGACGACTTAAAACTTCCTCGGTAGAAGAAGTCTAAGAACTTTCTTGATAGAGTTGAAAGTTGAGCTGTTTTTCTCTGGGAAACTTAATTCTAACCCTCTAACCAACGGCCAATTTGAATCTGTACAGGAATCAAGAGCTTTTTGATACACAAAACTTATTCCAGAAAAGTACTGCCTCTTACTAACCTTTACAATACACCCAATGTTTAGGCCACAGTTGGGATTGTTATGCCCCTTGTTCTATTTGAGTACATTATTGTTTATAAGAATGGTGAATTCTTAGCAACTTCTGCTTCTTCACTTGGAAGAAATGAACATTCACATTATTATGTGTATTTTTCTTATTTAAAAAGGATACAGAAGAGAAACTGTTTAACTGTTATATCAGGATATGATAATAAAACAAAGGGCAAAATCAGGTTCTATTTCTTTACATTTAACAACCTATTGAAAATGAATTTATTATAAAGATGTGGCAGTCTAAAGTAACTATTCCAGAGGTGGTATTCAGCAGGTTCTGATCAGTTCTGGAGAACCAGTTGCGGAAATTTGAGTACCTGCAAATAACACCTCTGACTGGAGATTTTACAGTGTCCTTCCCCTGCCACACCCACCAAGCCACGCCCACAGAACGGGTAGTTAAAAAAATTGAATCCCACCACTGAACTATTCTATGTGTCAAAGTATTTCCTAAGAAAAATAAACAATATTGACTTGTAGTACATTTTATAGTTTAAGAAGAGGAATCACTGCTCTTTTTTTAGAACAATAAAATACAAATTGCAACTGTTATAAAAAAAAGTGGATGTTTTATTCTTAAAAACAAATCCCACATCCCTACAAGATATATAGCATGCTTATATACCATACAGTGGTTATCTAGAATAGAGAAAATTCAAAAATATATAATTGTTATCCATGATTTATGGTAATCTTCTTCAATCTGGATTCCCTTGTCATTTCTATTTCTAAATACCAGTTACCAGATAATTTCTGAAAGTTCTGGGAGTTGAAGTCTGGAAGACACTGAAGTAAGGAAAGGTTGATTTAGGGTGAAAATATTTGGAAAGGCCAGTTGTTTTGATATTTATGAACCAAATCCTGGTGAGAGTTTTATTTGGAAATCTGAGCAAATATTTTATAGTTCGGTGAATTGTCAAATGACATACTTAAGATTTTTAATGAAATGATTTTTGTACTACATGTACGTAAATATGAAAATCACCAACGTTGTAAAAGACTACTAACTTTCTGGCTTTTATATTGTTTTCTCACCTCATACCGAATAGTTCAATTCCCAAATAATGATGGGTGAGGATTAAGACAAGTAGGTAAGAGCAGATAGTAAAATATTTTTGTGTGAAAAATAGACTGAATTATGAATTTTGTTACTATAATTTTAATAGTGATGAAAGTATTTCTGTCATACATCTTTCCTCTCATGGCAGTTTATCTCTGGTGGTGATGTATTTGCTCAAGCTATGCCTTGTATTGAGAGGACTCACGAAGATCCCCTTTGTGAAAAATGTATTTGGATGCCAGTCTTACTCTATAAAATTTAATCTGGTCAAGGCTTCAGACTTGCCATTTATAAAGAAAGAAATCCAAATAGTTTTCCTTTCTTGAATTGCAAATAAAGCACAACTGTTAATATACAAGATATACAAATTATATCACGGTGTATAGTATGTATATAGTATTACAAGGTTGACTCTGTATACTTATCCCCGTGTAGATTTGAATCCTATGTGTAACTTTAAAAATGGAAATTATTTGCTCAGGAAGAGTTTAAGATTGAGGCACATAATTTATTTTTAATAAAACTTGAAGTTTTCCGGTCTGAAAAGTTCCACACAGGCATTTTAAAGACTTGGTAGTTGAAACCTAGTACCTAAAGTTTAGAGGACTTTTCTTCATTAGTGTAGAGCATTCCTAGTCCATATAAGATCTCCTCTGTTAACATCAGTATGTGGAGGATCATGCTGAAATGATCTACCATTTGGCTCCTTCCAGGTACATCACCGTTCTTGGGGCCCTAGATCTGAGACATGATGTTCACAGGTGCAGGGTCATCTTTTACATCCTGGAACCTCCTGGGTAAGCAGATCATCAATTATTTTGTTCTGTTAAATATTTCCTGGACATGTGCTTCAGGTGATTTTTAGTCTCCCACCGCTTCAGGCAGGCCTGGCTAGGGATCCTCACTGGCTTATTCTGTTGATAGAACATTTGGTCAAAGCTGAGAATTACCAGAAAATGCCAAATCTACTGAGGACCTCATACTTTGATTCTAATCAGTCCAAAATGAAATATGTATCTGTTAAACTAACATGTACAAGCATTTGAGTTCCAAAAAATCTAGTAGTTAGATCTCTGCAGTGAACATTCTTGGGAGAAACTAAGAAACAGTTATCAATCTTAATTTTCAGAATATTTTTTTCTTTAAAATAGCTGTAGGTGAAATTTAAATTATACCTGAAGCCAGATTTTTTTTAAGCTTGGAAAGCAATTAATTTAGAATTAATTAATATGAGTAAATGAGCCATGGCTGATATAAAAGCAAAATTTACGATTTTGCCAACTTTTTCCTCCAGCCCAGTAAGTCATGTCTTATTTTCCTAAAGCCTCAAAAAGTTGACCATAGCCTCAGTTCTAGATTTTTGAAGTAGTCTCAGATAAAGGGGAAGGTGGTCCAAGAAATGATCTTACATATGTGTTAAATGCAACTGATAGGTACTCAGGTTTTTTTTTCCATTTTTGAATGGTGATGATAGTAAATATTCCAAATCAGCAGTAAGATATATTTTTCTCTGCATAAAACATCTAGCATTTGAAGAGACTTGAGAAGACCAATTTCAACAGTGTGCAGTTCCACTCTCAGGTTGAATTTCTTCCCTCAGGCAGCTCTTATAATCAGCTGGAAATCCTATCTTTCATTGTTTCCTAACTTTTTTTTAGTTAAACTCTATCTTTTTAGGGTTTTCCAGTCTTCTTTGCAATGATCAGCACTGAATTTTAACAGCTACTGAAATTGGTGTCTAATGTTCACCTCTAGGAACAGTCCTAGAGTGTGCCAATGTTTGTTCCCTCTTAGTTGACTGAATATATGATACTTAATGAGACCACAGTTAAGACAAAACAAGCCATACTATGGCTTAGCTTGATGTGCAAAGTCAGTGCTCTTAAATAGGCATGGTATATATACTATGGCATGAGATCAACAGCAAGTATTTCATTTGTGGACATTGTTCCAATACTGACCTCCTCTTCACTTTCTTCACTCAGCTTTGGTTTTCGGTTTTTGACTAGCTCCCGCTGCAGAATATCAAACTTGGACTTGAACCAGTGATGAGCTTCTTCTAGGTTAGCAGATATCTAAAGCAGAGAAATACTGCTTACTGATTATAAAAAAAAAGAGTGTCATTTTCCTAGGCCTTCACAGCAGTAATTGCTAGTATATGATAAGTATTAGAATACTGGTAAGTTCCCAAAATTTAAATCAAATCATAAAATTAGCTCTTACTTCAGTAATGAGAAGTTCAGGAAAGCCAAGCCAGTTTTATTCTGATCTGTAAAACTAATTCCTTTGCAAGCATATAATTTCAAGCAAAATGGCAACTCTGCCATTTTCCCCCTCTTTGTCTCTGCATCTTACTTGTTGAGACTCAATGCTGGCTTCTTTTAGTTTCTCTTCAGTAGCCTCCTTGCACTTCTTGAGCTCCTTAATGGTGTCTTCCAAAGTCTAAAGGAGCACAAAAAATACAAATTAAAAAAAATGCAATTATTCTTCTACAGTAATTTCAGTATGATTTAAGATTAATGCTAATAGATATTGCTTTTTATCAAGCAAAAGGTCAGAAAAAGAGGAACATTAGATAGGTCACTAGTTGTCACTAAAGGCAAAATATAAGATACTCAGTTGAAATAAACTATGAGCTCAAAAGAGATTACTTGGCACTCTTCTTCAAGCTGTTTCCGCTTCTTCCTTTCTTCTTCCAGTTGATTTTCCATCACTTGCTGATTTTTGGCCAGTTGCTGCATCTCACTTTGTAGGCTTGTTAATTCGGTGGCAAATTGTTTGATACTATGGGACTAGAAAAAAGAGGAATCAGACTCCATGATCAAATCAACTATTTTAGCTTAGTCAATGCCTAACTTGCCATAAAAAGTTGATGCTACCTGCTCGTAGTTTTTCTTCTGGTATAAGTCCTTCAGCTCTTCCATTTGCCTCAATTCCAATTCAATCTCCTGAAAGTATTTCACAACAATGAGAGGAAAGCATCCAGGCGTCTACTGTGTCAGAGTACACCTATACTAAATGACAGTGCCTGCTCTCACCTGCCAGATATCAAAACTCCAAAGTACTCATTCTGTTTTCAAGCTGCTGCATAAAACAAGCAGGCAGGTATTTCAGTTTTACAATGACTGCTCCAGGGAGCACAACCCAATAGTAAAAATTCAGAAAATAAAAGACTGCTCTAGGGCTGCTTTCTAGCATGTCCTCAAAAATAAATAAAATTTAAAAGTGGCACAGAAATCTGGAGGAAGAAAATCACATTCCTTTGCACTGGCCCCCACCATATCTAGGAATGTCAAGACCTTTAATATAAGGGCCCTTAATAGCTACATAGCGGGGAATCTTCCACTAGCCCTTCTTCCAAATATGATGCTGCAAGATACTAAAGGCCCAGAATTTAAGTGATACTGTTGGCAGCCCCAAGCACATTTCTTCATCTACCCTTGTTCCTATTTACCACTTCACCTAAAGTATTTCAAACAAGCAGAAATTCTGAAAATAAATCCATGGTAGGACTCTCAAAAATACGGGTTTTATAAGTTATGCGATTTTAAACCAATTCATAAACTAGGCTAAGACTACTGGGAAGGCTCCTCCTTTTCAGAAAATTTGAGAGAGTCTGCAATTATTATTGTGATCCTGACCAGGCTTGCCCAGAGAAAACAGAAACATCCAATTAAGGCTTTGCTCTCCACTTTGCCTGCATCAGCTGCCAGCAATCAGTTGCAGTACAGCAACAATGGAAAACCACAATTAAAATTTAGCTATTAAAACTAACTTTGTATGGATTTCTGGCCCCATCCTACCCTAACCCTAATGAAATCATGAGTTTTGCTCATAATGAGCAAACCACACCTATTCATTTATCCTTTCTGGCTGTCACAGTACTGCCAGGTTTCCCACGCTCTGCGGAAAACTATGATTGGTTTTATTAATCTAAATCCTCTATGGAGAGAAAATGCACACTTTTTACTTTAAAAAAAAACTTAGTTTTGTCTAAGCACTGCTAAGGGGCCAGCCATTTCATAGGTAGAGAGATTTTGCATCCAGACCATATTCTATTGTTTTCTCTAAAAATTTCCATTTTAACTTTATATATGATGTCCCACTGATTACAGCTGCAGTAAAGGCAGATGCAGGCCATACCAAAAACTATTTGCAAGGCAAAGGAAATAAAATCCATCAACTTACCTTGATTTTCTCTGCATTGTGTGTATTGTTGGTCTTGGAGTTGAAGTACTGGGTGATTAGTATTTTCTGCTTTTTTACCTTCTCCTTCTGAGTTGTCAGTGCAGCTTCCAGATCTATCACTTTTGCCCGCAGTTCTTTGTTGCAACGTAGTATTTCGGTAGACTTAGAACAGGCCTCTTCAAGAGCTTTTTTAACCTATTGGGTAGAGACGGAGGCAATTCATATTCATCTGAAAAAATGCAGAAGGTAAAGCCCATTTCTGAGTTCTTACTTTGTCCCTTCACTCTAAAAACTCATAGATTTTGGTTTCCTACTTGCAGAATAATTTTTGTCTGGCTTCTGTTTAGTGATATAAAGCTTTTTTAGAGTATTAGTAATCTCTGCTCAAATCCTAGAGTCTTTCTGTTAGAGGTATTGGATCCACCACTCATAATTGGAATGCAGAAGATTCTGAAGCAGTCTATGGCCCCTCCTTAGTAAAGAGCGAGTGACATAAAGATGCAGGGTTAACTGCATCTTCTTAGGTTCTTTAATACCACTGATATGAATCCCAAAGAAAGCATGTTACAGGTAGCACTTGAATTAAGACCACTGTTCAGCAACCATTCAAAATTACAACAAGCGCTGAATGAAGGGACTTATGACCATTCCCAAAGTTCAGACTGCCAAGTTCAGAACCCAGGTGCCCAAAGCATCTGACAATCACATGACTGCCATTTACAGCCTTCCCTACTGGCTTCTCTAGAGAGTCACTGGGAAAGCTGGCAGGGAAGATCACAAGCCAGCCCCCCCACCATGGCCTTTTTTCACTTGTCTGAACTGCAGCCTGCTCACCTCCTGCAATTGTACCTACCCTGTGCCTCTTTCTACGACTTCCTTGTGATTGCACATACATGTCCTGTGCTCTCCTTCCATTAACTCGCTGTGAGTGCACTCTTTTCATGGTTGCCCTGTACACATGCACACACCATCTATGTGGTGTCCCTGAGATTTTACACATGCTTGCACCCTGCTTCCATGGTCTCGTTGCAATTGCACTCACACACTCTCACCTTCGTGTCCTCTTTCCATGGCCTCCCTACAATCAGATGTATCCCACATCCTTGTTCTCCAACCTTACTAGCTCGTGCTGCACTAAGCATCTCCCCAGCTTGCCTGTAGACTATGCCAGGCCTCCCCCACTCCCATGGCACCCCCATGCTCCCTACCTGGAACTGCCTCTGCTTTCCACTTAATGACCTGTCCAACATTGATAACTGGGACTGCCTAGATTGTCAGCGCTAAGTGATGAGGTCATATGATATTGTACTTTATGACTGTATCACTCAGTGATGGAAATCCTGGTCTAAATTACTGCTGTGATTCAAGGACTATCTATTGCAACTACCATGCAATGGAGACACAGGACCATTATTTTATTCCTCATTGGAGTGGAATTTTATCAAGAACTCACTTCAGAGCTGTTCCCTTTCCTCACCTCGGCTGATTCTTTTTGGCCTGATTTCTTCGCCACTTCTCGTTCAGTCTGAAACTGTTTCTTCAGGGTCTCCAGACGATCCGCATAGAACTTTGTCTCCCTCTTGGTTTCTTCAATGAGCTGGTCCCTTTGAGGAGGGAAAAGGAATTCTTACAGGACATCAGTCCCATCTCTTCAGTTTTGAAAATATAATCCTCAAATAGACAAAAGAGCTTATTCCAAAATGTGCATGAGATTTTCTCTTCATTTTGTTTTTTGTCAATCCTTCCAAGGCAAAGGCAACCTTCTGAATGCTTGAAATAACTGGGGATGGGGGTGGGGGGAATCTCTGTGGATTAATTAACAATACCAATAGGTTTATGTTTATAATTGGATTGTAAAATTTAATTTTGCTGTATTATCACCTACAGGTTCTATAAGGCAGCGGAAATGTATATATAAGTAAACAATCTGACCTGCATTGCATTAATTGCTGGCATTCTGCTTCTTTGCTTTCCAGCTCATCTTGAACAAGAGAGAGTTTGCTTTCCAAGGCACTATTGGTCTGCAGAATTTGCTCTAAATTTTGGATAAGCTTCTTCTTGTCCAATTTGGAAGTTTCCAGGGCTTTACGAAGTGCGTTCATCTTTCATAGTATGGAAAAAAGCACACGGTGACAAGAATTGTGTGAAATGCAGCCGATTGCTACAAAGCCAATGTGCCCCAAAATGCTTCACTTGGCATTTGCCAGGATTTCTGCACCAACTGTATTTCATATATTTAAAATGCTTCATTTGGCATACTGCACTTGCTGTGACAATCATTTTGTGAATGGGCATGGCCCTCCCAATAGTCCGTTTGCAAAATGCCAGGCTAGAAAGCAGGAGACTGTGAGTTCAAATCCTACCTTAGCCATGAAAGCCAGGTGGGTGACTTTGGGCCAGTCGCTCGCTCTCAGCCCAACTCACCTCACAGGGTTGTTGTGGGGAAAATAGGAGAAGAAAGGTGTGTTGGATAGATAGATAGATAGATAGATAGATAGATAGATAGATAGATAGATAGATAGATAGATAATTTTGCGTGTGTGTGTAAAATGCTTACAACCCGCCCTCCACAAAAAAAAAATAAAAAGAGGGCAGGGACCAATTTTATTACAATTAGTATCAACCCCTTATCCTATCAACCTTACACTGTAAATGGCAACACAGAGAGTAAGCACAGCTAAAAGAACCTTTCATTTCAACCAAATTATATCAATACTTCATCAACAGAGAATGTCATTTCTGTTACCGACAATGTCCAAAATCCCAGACTGAACAGACTGTTTATTTTAGTCACTGGAAGTTGCTTTGCTTTTTACCTTCACATTGCGCTGGGCATCCAAAGCTAGCTTTTTCTGACATTCTTCCAGCTCTTCTTCCAGCGTCTGAATTCTTTGCTGATTCTGGGTCCTACATATGAGAAGTAGCCCAAAGAATAAGTGTACTGAGAGAATGTGCTTGTTTCCCCACCCCAAAATCTCAAATATTGCCTAGTATTTCAGATTTTTTTTAGCATGCTCATATTTGCCAAAATAGAATATCTTGAAACATTTCTTAATAATCCCAATATTGTATATTTGACTTTTTTTTCAAGGTAGGCACTAATGGTATTCTATCACACAAATAAAAACCATTCAGTTGGCCATACTGAGCAATATGCAAAGTAGAAGGATGGCAAGCTCATTTACCTTTCTTTCTTCAAGCCAACAATATCAGAATCTTTGTGATCCAATTCAATCTGCACCTTTTCCAGAGCTACCTGCATCTTGTTATGAGAAGCCAACACATTTTGTAGAATTGTGGTCATTTTGATGTTATCTTCCTTTGATTCTTCCAGCTTGCGTTGTAGATTTGCCAGCTGTAGAACAACATGGCAGGCAATGAACAGTTGGTCTAACATCTATTTTGCATGTCTCAGGCACAGATCAGGGGCAGAGTACCTGTTTTTACAAGCAAATGGTCCTAGTGGAAGAATATCAGACAATGCGCTCTGTAAACATCTCTTCCTTTGAAAACCTGGAAAACTCTAGCTGCCACACAGAATAGACAAGGCTAGAAGATAAACTTTTTCACTTTTTGTGAAAAGCAACTTTCTGGGTTCAGCAAACTTCATCTTTATCTTGAGCTCTGAAAAAAATGGTTGTGTCTTCAAGTGCAGAATAAATCATTGTCATGTATGAGGCAACCTTATCATGAGGCTACCTTAAAGTGCCTCAAATGCACTGGAGCAGTGAAGCAGCTTTGTAAAATAGATTGCTACCATTATCTCTAGGTTATTGATGTTGGGGGATTCTGATTTATCTAAGATTGTGGAACAAATTCATCTTAGGAACAAAGGGAACTGCCCAATATTAAAACAAGCCAATGGTTCATTTACTGAAGTATTAGCAATTGCTGATATTTTCTAGTTCTAGTTGGAGAGTTAGGGTTATGCTACGGATTAAATCTAGGCATAATGCAAATGTTCTACCCCTGAATTACCAATTCCACTTTTTAACAGTTCTCTGTGGTCTTTCAGAGAACTAAATGACATCAGACAAAGCTGTACCAGCCAAGTTCAAAGTCAGTTTCTCCTCAGAGCATGGGGATTTCACTTACTGATGGCAGGTTTTTTCTTTATTATTTTATAAGTTAACAGACAAAAATAAGAGGCAATATAACAGATAACTCTCATCTAGACACAGAAAAAGCAAGAAAAAAATGTTGACATTTAGGGTAAGATTTTATTTATTTATTTAGCATATGGCAAATACATGGACTTTTTGTGTTTCAAATGTAAATGTCCAGTCCACACAGCCATTCTAGGACAGGGTGGTCTATGTTGAAAAAAACCAGGCATTGGGCCGGTGTAAGCTCTTGGTGGACATTTGGACACAATGTGATGGATATTTTGTCGAGGAGCAGACCCCACGTAAACAATGGGTAAGGTGAAAGGACTCCAGTAAACCTAAGCCTGAGTCTCACAAATGGGATTCTATCATTTTTCACTATTGCATCACCATGGAATAGGGATATCATATTCAAGACCATAGACATAGCAAGTATATGGTCCAAGAATCAATCAAATTTAGATGCTATAGTGTGACAAATGAAAGAGTAGACACAACCATTTAGTTCACAAATCTATTCATCCATATGGCCTAGTCTCTTTTTTCTCCCAACTATCAAATAACAGTCAGCACTACTCTGTCATACTGCCTACCTTTGTGATGCTGGTGTGAAAAATAGAGTAGCGAAGCCTTGTTCCTCACTTCTCCCAGAACTTAATACTGTATATAGTGACCAGAACATTTGAAACAGCCGAAATAATATCTGATAGGTCACATAATTAACCAAAGTCTTTATGGATATGATGAATAGAAACATTAAGGTGTTTTGGTGAAATTACTTAGTTGGGAAGTATAGACAAAGCTGGTGTCTTTCCCCATCTCGTGTTACCTTACGCTTCTCTCTTTCTTCAATGACATCTATTTGCCCTCTGAGCTTCTGGTTCTCTCTTAATGCTTCATCATGGGATTTGACTGACATAGAAAGAGCTTCCTCTCTACAGACAAGGAGGGACTGTGTCTTTTATGAAAAAGAGGGAGCGAGAGAGGGAGGGAGGGAGGAAGAGAAAGAGAGATATGTTATTTTTCTAAATGCCAGGAACTAGTCTCTAGGGCAGGGCTTTCAAACTCCTGGCCCATTGGCCAGATGCGTCACACACTGACCACGCCCATGCCAAGTTTAAAAAAGGGGGGGGAAGTCCCGATATGTCACGTGACATCACCTTGATGACATGAGTTTGACACCCCTGCTCTAGGAGAAAAAAATGTTGCCCTCAATTTTGCGCAAATAAATCAATAACTAAACAGTAAAGAGAGCCTGGAATATTCAGAACTAGTTACAATTCCTTATGTATCAATGAGCTACAGAATATGTTCAAACATCACTTGGAAAAAAAAAAGGATTAGCAACCTAGATACAATCATTTTTCAAGACAATTTAATCTTATGATTAATATTAGGAAATAAATCCCCCCACCTAATCTTACCATAAAAGGAAGCCCAGCACAAAAGAGAGTACTCAACGTGTTTTTTTTAATCAAAAAAAGATGCTGAAGCACAGAGGAGATATAGACTAATTGCTGACACAAAATGCTGTATATAGCAATTAAAAGCAGGTGGCATGACATCAACTACCAGTGTATGGTTTAATAATACACTGTCCTACTATTTCTACCCACTGCCCATGGAATGGCATTATTCTCTCTTATAGAACTAACCGTAGGGTAAAACAATCACATTGTCAAATAATAAAGTAACAAAGTGCAAAATATAGCTTAAAGTAATTATTAAAAACAAGCAATGGAACCAACTTCCTATTACAATTTAAATAAAACCAGATTTCTTTAATAGCTATGAACTCCCTAGTTTAAGGATGAGTCTGATATAACACTTCTGTAAACGAACTTTTAACAGATCAAACTACCCTCTAGTTTCACAGGTGCATGATATATGTTTCCTTAACACTCCTGGCTCTTAATATAACACTTTCACTTCTCAAATTCCAGGCAGAATATCTCATCTTCTATTTTTATCTATGTTATGATTTTTTTATGACATTAGTCCCTTAGAGAAAATTTTCAAATTTCTGAATCATACACTCTATGTATGTGTGGGGAAGAGACAGAGGACTGAAATGAACCAGGCTGTTGTTCAAGATCAGGTGTGAATAAGAACATATAAATGAGTGTGGTCATGCGTGCATGTGTGTGCGGGGACACACGTACACACACACACGTGTCTAGTATAGGCTCGTCCTAGGGATGAGAGAGGATGACTGACCAATGATATCCAGTTGGCTTCCTTGGCTAAGGAAAAAGTAGTACCCGAATTTCCCTGCTTATATATGATTGGTTGCTGATTTCCTTTCTGCATGTCGCAGTTTTAAACTCACCCTCTGGAGATCTGTTCCCTCACTAACTACATCCCTGTCAGTTTCTAATTGTTTGCGGCTCCTGTTTTTTCTTCTGCGCTCCAGCTTTTCATCCACAGCCATGGCAGCTTTGAAAAAATCATGTGAAGAAGCTCTGCGATTATCACCACAGTCAGAGACAGATTCCCTTCCAGGCAGATCAGTCATGAAACGAACTCTACGTGTTGGAGAATACAGAGCAGAAGTTTGTTCCCTAAGTTCCAGGTTTTCCTTTACGTCACAGGCCAGGCATGACCTAAAATGGTTACTGGACTTCTGCTGCCAGCAATTTTCTGAGGACTTTCTTTTTTTAAGAGGCATTTTCGCTATAAACTTTGTGGCTTAAGGAGAAATAAAAATCCTGGAGAAGGCAGATCAAGTTTGAGAAGAGTGGTGTCCATTTTCAAATACAGATTCTTATCCACAGTTACATATTGTTTTAAAAAGCTGTTACATTACTGAGGTCTGAAGGGAGGCATTTTAAATCTGATTCTGTTCCCTTTCCTCATCAATGGCTGTTGAAAAGTTCTATACTCAACAGCCCTTCTTATTCAAAGGTAAAGCTGTATGTTCTCTCCCATATCATAGAAATGCTGGGACATCACTCTGTTCCATTTGTGATGTCATGAGGCTCCTCCTCTTTGGTCAGAATGTGATTTAAACATGTAATATTTCACAATCCACTTTCTCTAACACACAAATGAAGTGAAAAAAATGTGCAGATTGACAAGTTGGATAAATTTAACTCCTTATTCCTTTTTTTTCTTCAAAATAGCAACATTGAAATCTGCAATCTGTCCTGGGAGGTTAAAATGCTCTCATATTACTTGTCATTCCCTATTTTGAGTCATGATATGTCTGTTACTTATTTTGTTTAAAATAAACTCCGCAAACCTTCCCTGCCTAAGAGAAAATTAGAACCTACCTACTCCTATATGATTGCTCCATCTATTTAGCCAAAGTGTGTTTTAATGCTCTAAAATTATTACTTATTATTTCCATTCAAAAATCGATTTATAGTAAATCAAAGCTATCAATATATATGTATTAATTTATTATTGTACATTTTTCCAACAGGAAAAATATTAATACAAATTATTATTTAACTATATATATAATGTATCTACATTTGATCTTGTAGCATTTAAAATCTCAAAAATTAGAAACAAATATAATTCCAAACAGAGTTTGTCCTAAAAAGAAAAGGAAAAAAAACCTCAAGTTTTTCTAGTTTTCAAGAAGTTGATCCTTGAAGCAATCAAAAGGCTACTTCCACTTTCTTGGCTCCAGAAATGTTTCAAGTTAATAGAAACAAAAGATACATATTAGTTTAGAAATGGCTAACTGAACATTTAATCCATTTAAAATGGTAGGCGGTTGATAACTTTTTAAACCCAAGAGTCTCTCTAAATGCACTGCTGGTAAATTATTGTAGGATTTGAAGAAATTTAGGTGGCTTTAGACCTGGTGAGGCAGCAAAGTACAACATTAAACCCTGAAGGAGGACTGCAAAGATCCAGGTTTAAATCTCGATTGAATATGGAGCTCACTGGATGATATCAAGTCAGTTACTTATTCTCCTCAACCCAACCTGTTTTATAAAATTGTTATAGAAGGGTAAAATTAGAGATCTCTATGCATACTATCATAGCAAATGTGGGATTTAAATGCAATAAATAAACAAATAATGTACAGAAAAATAACAAAGACATAAAACCAAAATCTAACATATATATTGCTATAGGTACCTACAACACTATAGACGCTTTTTGTCTATTGCTTTTATGGAGTACCTGATCATATTCAGCCTTTAGGGCTATACAAAATTTGCGGAGCTGATTATTTTCTGATTGCACATATACGAAGGACTGCAGTTCTTCTTCCAGTTGCTGTACTCTCAGCTGGGGAAATGAAAGATTTTGAGAATTCAGGCTGACAGTTGTATTGTAAACAAAGTTGACCTTATCAACCAACAGGTCTATAGTTTATGAGAATCAGAAGGCCTACACCTTTTTTTCCCCAGCTTAAACGTTTTCTAAAATGTCTGGAGAAAGTATTATGAACAGAATCCCACAGAATCTATAAGTAGACTGCAAAGGGTTATGGTGTAAGATTATAAAAAGTCAGATGAAATCAGGTGAAATCAAAATAGTCTAAAATATATTAGCATACAATTATTGTGTTATTTAAATACATATATTTAAATACTAGGGCATATATTTTTGCAAATTTAGGCATATGCTTTATTTTTTATTGAGCATCCTTTCTAACTCTTCTTGCAATATTAAATTGACTGCCATTTCAGTACAGTTTATTGAAATTACAGGTGGTCCTCATTTAATGTCTATTTGGACTTAACAGTGCTGAACGAGTGGCACTCACTTGCAGTCCTTGAAGTTTTGGTTGTCACAGCACCTCCAGAGTCATGAGGCTACATTTCAGCCATTGGTCCTCACTTCCATAGTATTTATGACCTTCCCTGCCAACTTCCCACGAGCAAAATCAATGGGAAAGATGGCAAGAAATCAAAAGTCACAGTCACATGAGATTCTCCCTTAATGACCAGCTTAACAAAGACAACTCAGTCTGCCTTTGCTAAGCAGTGCAGTCACATAGTTGTTCAACATATGACTGCATTGCTTAATAATAGAGTTTTCAGTTCCAATTAGCATTGTTAAGCAAAGACTACCTGTAAGGTGATATTTTCAAGTAAAGCATTTATAGGATTAGAGTATCAATTGTGACATTATCAATATAAAGACTAAAATGTCATTATTCCTAGGTATGTCTTCAGTGTTACTTATTTCGTTCCTCTTCTTCATTGTCATCCAAAAATATCCATAGTCTCCTAGGCAACACAACCAAGTCATTTTTTTTATTCCTGTGCCACAAAAATGATCAACTTTGTGTCTACAAAACCTATCTTTGTATTTCTATTCTTCGTTTAGTTTTCAGGCCTATAAGCTGTTTGTTTATAATATGTTTCAAACAAAAACAGTTTTGGGAAATTAATGATAAGAATCTGAAAGAGAAATTTCAGATAATGTTCAAGTGCTCCAGAAGTACCACAGAAGCCACTTTCTATGCTGCAGCTGTAATTTTTTTAAGTCTGAGATTGTGAAGTTAGGGAATAGCACTTGCTTGTGTCTTAAAATCAAGAATGGCTTTAAACATTGCAGCAGTGGGATGAACTATAAGACTTAAAGAGGAGATCAGATATGGATTTCTCACTCCTGGTTTAAAAGCAAACTGCCCAAAAATGTTTCTAAGCTTTCAAGCCAAATGTCTTTTTTTCACAACATTCTAACATACAAATGTGGTAAAAATTCTAAGATACCAGAAGCAATTACTATTTCTCTTTTCACTTGCTTGCCTTTCCACCTCCCTATAAATAAGCTTGATAAACACCTTTTTTAAAAAGACACCAGAGGCACAGTCTATCATGCTTCATCTTGAAGAGGTCTTTTTTACATTTATGGACAAATTTATGAGTTGTCTTCATGAAGAATGGGATTCAACGATAGAAAACATAGGATGGTTCAAGCATTCTCAAAAACAGATTTTATTCTTCCCACTCCTCTCCAGAAACAAAAAGAGGATTGTTCAGACAGGAAGTGGCTCTAAAGGGATTATGCTGAAACACAGTATAGATCTAACGATCATGAGAAAGTAAAAGAAGGTGAATAGGAAGCTCAAGAACAATCCTCCTTTCAACAGTTTAGATATCTGAATTTTCCCTTTAGCATATGCTCCTTTTTGTTACCCTTTAACTTTTCAAATTTGTTTTACTGGCTGATGGGCCAGTCATTGTCTTATGCTCACTAAGCTAAAGCACGTGGCTTTCCCCACTCAGGCTTAGAAATTTCTCTCTCCTCTTTCTTTGCTTTCATTCAACTGTGATTCCAGTGTTTTTAGCAAATGGTGAAGAAAGGAAGCAGTCATAAATTTTCACCATTTGCTCAAAGCATAACAAAAAAGAAAAGACTGGTTGGAGTGTTACCAACATAAAAACAAAGGAGCCTGGTTTCTGTAAACCAAGGATATTGAAACTACAGTTTGGGTAGTTAGGCCTTCCATTCTGGAGTAAATGTTTCTTTTCTCCAAAACATTGTTTCAATTTATTTATTGAAGTATTTATAGTTTGCCCTAAAAATCTCAGGGTGCATCACTACCCATAAACTAAAAGAAAAATTCTTTCAAATACTCTTCTTCCCAAGAAGAACAACAAGAGTTTTAGATGCCAAAATATATCCAAAAATGTATTTGGCTTATCTGCAATAGCAATAGCATATAGATTTATATGTTGCTTTACAGTGCTTTACAGCCCTCTTTAAGCAGTTTACAGAATGAGCATATTGCCCCCAACTTATTTGAGCCCTCATTTTATCTGCCTCGGAAGGCTGAGTCAACCTTGAGCCTGGTGAGATTTGAACTGCCAAATTGCAGGCAGCCGGCAATCAGCAGAAGTAACCTGCAGTACTGCACTCTAACCACTGCACCACCATGGCTCACTAGCAAGTACTGTATACAGTATTTTAATACTTTTAAAAATTAGCTATATATCCCATATACAATTGAAGATATGCCCAGCCATGGATAATTAACCAAAAAACTATGAAAAATGTGTTATTTACAGATAAGCTAATTGTGAAAGTTAAAAAGATACAAAAATGTCAATGTCAACATATCTACAAGGGGCACATTTTTCATGGTATTTTGGTTAACATTTTGTGGGTTGGTCATCTGCAGACGGGCTTATATGAGAGTATAGATTATTTCTCAAATCTCAGCAAAGCTAAGAGGTATGGGCTTCAAGTTCCAGAATTCCTTGTCAGAATCCTGGTTGGAGAATTCTGGGAGTTGAAGTCCACCGATCTTATCTCAGATGATAAGGTTCTGTATTCCCTTGGCATTTTTGCATAGACAGCTATGTTGCTTTTTGAGAAGAAAAGCTGAATAGGTTGCACATAGAAGCAACTGTTGTTACTGACTCAATCCCGTTCCCTTGTAGTAAGGAGATCGGTTTCCTGGATTCAAGGATTTATGTGGAGACTCATTAAGGGAACCAGAAGTGGGAGATGATAATGGCCCAGTACACCTTAGTTCAAGTCATATCTTGGCTGCAGAATCTCATTTTAATGCTGACCACAAGATAATGCCCAATAAAACTTAGAGAACAAGCAGGCGACTGAGTTAACACAGCAATGTCCTCTAACAACAATGAACCTGTAGAGTTGACAGGAAACACATGAAAAGTTATTACTAAACTCCTCTTTGCCTGAGACACAAGACCAGTCCTGAATGTAAACATAAAATGGGGAACTAAGTCAAATGAAACAGATGCTGTGAAAACCGCAGACAGATATGATTAAAAGAAATGTTTACTTCCAATGAAACTGCAAAAAAATATTGGTTTCTTCCCCCCTTAACATTTCTTTTTGTTGAGGATTATTTTTTTACTGGAGAGGAGATGAGATGTCATCAAATGATTTTATATTTTATGCCACATTATACGTTTTCAGTTGCATACCTTTTGGTGCTTAAGTGCAGCATCCTGCTCCAAAAAATCCCTTTTTTCTTTCTCTAGTGCTCTGACTGACTCTTGCAGACAATTAATTTCCAACTTAAAGAAACAAAGACTATATTTCAGGTGACATAAAACATGGTTAATTTGCTCATAGTTTGCACTATCTGGTAAATGAAATGTGTCTAGATATTTCTCTAGCAGCAGCCAGACAATTGCTAGTTATACATAGTATCAGGTGCTAATATCTAAAATTACTTAAAATGACAAATAATTAATCTTCTATTTATAAATATCAGCTTAAAATTAATATCTTTGCTGTGGTTATCATGCATTTACCTAGAAACTGTATTTTGTTTACTTTAGCAGAATTTTAAAATAACCTTAACCTACTGGATCATTTCACTGAAGAAGTGCTTGATACCTTAAACTAAACAGAGGTTAAAAGTAAGAGGCCAGATTTAGGGATGCCTCCTATGTTTTTCCAAGTTTATTCCAAGCAAATCTGGATCTAACAATCCAATGAATTGCAAATCAATTGATAGACTAAACTGTTGGCCAATGGGAACCTCAATACTTTCAACCCTTGTATATAATGCTGTACCTTTTTTTCTGTTAGTTCGGCTTCCAACTTTTCAATCATTCTTCTTGTTTCTTGTATTGTTTGCTGCAACTGCCATTAAGAATTAAAATAGTTTTTTTGCCAAACACTTCAAGGAAAATCTATTATATATATTTTTCTTGATGTACATTAGGAATGATTACTTTTTAAAAAATCTGAATCAGCAATGATTAGCGACAACTCATCAAATACCATGCAGACTATACTTGTTTTCTATGCTATTTTCTGGGGCAAATTTTATTAAAAAATCTAGCACGAAAATATTCTTTTCAGTCAATTCAAATCTTGCACATACTGTCAGTACAGGTAGTCCTCAACTTACAATCATTTGCTCAGTGACCGTTCGAAGTTACAACAGCACTGAAAAAAGTGACTTATGACGAATTGTCACACTGACAACCGTTGCAGGAACTCTCTGGTTACATGATCAAAATTCAGATGCTTGGCAACTAGCACATATGACAGTTACAAAGTCAATGGAGGAAGCCAGATTCACTTAATGATTGAATGATTCACCTAACAATTGCAGTGATTCACTTAAAAACTGTGGCAAGAAAAGTCATAAAATGGGACAAAATTAACTTAATTGTCTTACTTAACAATGGAAATTTTGGCCTCATTTGCAGTTGTAAGTAAAGGACCACATGTATGTGCCATTTTGGTATATTATACAAAGCAAGAAAGGTTGTCTTGTTTTGTTTTTTTTAAACTAAGATTGCAAACACAAGTCTGTCTTGCTGTAATGAACATGTAATCTCCTACTGACAAAAATGTGGGTTTTACTCTAAAACCACAATAAATAGCCACTATACCTCTTCTTCAAGTATCTTTTTCTCTTCCAGCAAAGAATTTCGCTCCTGTAGAATTGTCTCCATTTCATTTTGGGTCTGGGAAACTATATGCTCCAGACTGTTTTTTTCTGTGGGAATGGTGTCTTCTTTATAGTCTCTCTTCTTGCATTCAGCATGCTCAGTTCGCAAGTCTTCTCTGCAGAATAAACACAACTGTGTGGCAATCCTATTATCCTCTATATTCTTCAAAAATTTCAGAAGACAGTGCAAGAAGCTGAATAAAGTATAGCTTGTGCTAAACTAAGGGACAAATACAGAAAACAGCAGGACAGGAAAGAAAGTGGGTCACACTTGAGGAACAACCACACAAATTTCAATTGCCTCTCACAGTTCTTTCTGGAGCTGAGCTTTTTCTTTCTGCACAATCTGCAGCTCTTCCATAACACTGGTTCGAGCAGCATCCAAAATCAAGTCTTGTTCCTTCAGTTTTTGGTGCATTTTTTCCTGTTCCACCTTGATGGGGAAAAAAAAAAGGGGGGGGGGGAATTTATGAATATAAGAAACAATAATGAAAGCCAGTTCAGTTTAAGGCACCAGGATAGAAACCAAGAGATTGTGAGTTCCAATCCTGCCTTAGCAATGAAAGCCAGCTGGGTGACTATGGTCCGGTCCTTCTTTCTCAACCCTACTCACCTCACAGTGTTGTTGTTGTGGGGAAAATCAGAGGAGGAAGGAGTATTAGGTATGTTGACTATCTTGTTATTTATAAAATAATGAAGGCAGGATAAAAATCAATCAACCAACCAATCAGTTATATCAGCTATGACCATTCTGAATGGGGAGGTTCATGCTTTAATTTCCTCTCCATGGAGCTGCTTCGAACACTATTGAGAAGGTTGAACTGGCACAGGTTACAGGCTGCTTCAACCAATAGAAATACCAAATTAACATCTAACACTACTATGTCCAGAATGCACTGATTGCTAGTTGGCTTCAAGTGCAATTCAAGGTCTAGAATTCATCAAAGCCCTTTACAGTTCAGGACTTGGACATCTGGCCTGTCTCCTTCCAGTTGCACATCCAAAAAGACTGAATAAGCTTGCTTCTGGTCCCTTCTCTTAGAGATTTTCTGCAGGGTCCAGAAGTTGGGCCTTCTCAGTTGCAGCCCTCTTCACTTGAATACTTTAATTCCTGAGATCAAAATAGCCTAACTCTCTTGAGTTTTACGAAAAGTGTAAAAAATTGCTTTAAAAAAAAAGCTTTGGGAAGGAAACTTGAATGAGTTTGGGGCCCACTTGAGTTGTGTTTGGATACTTATTGTTCTTCAATGGCCACAGTAATTTTGGGTAACTGACAGATGATCTTTCTAATATTGTTTTCTCTTTTAATTTTCTTATTAAAGGAAAGGAATGGAAGCTATTCAGAAGCCCTCTGCATTGGAGCAACAAATGCTCCAAAATGCTAAGCAAGCAAGGAAACCGAAAGTAAAGGTATGAAATGATGAACTAGTTTCCAAAACAAACTAGATCAGCACTTGAATTTCCCCAGCTTTGTCAATGTAAGATCTGCCCAGCTAATTTCTCTTCTGTTTCTGACTTCACAGTGAATAAACAAATCCTGACATTAGCAGAAATGAGGTACCAGCAATTATTTGCTTGACTTTTCTTTCAGCAAGTTTTTTAGTTTATTATTATTTTTCAATTTTTTTGAACTGCCTATCTCCCTCAAAAGGGGATCCTGTGCAATATACAATAAAACGTTTGTGAGATTGCTACAAGACAGATCTCAAACATCAGCCATTTCTATGTCCTCCCTTTTCTTCTTCATAGATTTTAACAATATATTCTGATGGAGACGTCTTGAAATCTCAGTTATTTAAACTAATACACAGGTTCTTATCTATACAACCATCCACAATTACATTAGCAGGATGGGTGGCCATATGAATACATAAAATGAATAAAAAAAAGGCTAGGCCATGCACCTGAAGCTAACCATTGATTGCTTTTAACAGTCAACTTAAAGTACATTTATATTCTAATGTACTCCATACCTGAAGAGCAGCCTGATGATCTGAAGTAAGTTGAGCATTTTCCGCAATAGCTTTTTGAAGAGCACCACTTAGATCTGTGCACTGTTGAGCCAATTGCTCATTAAGTTTCTGAAAAAGAAAACAGATTTTCTGCAGCAGTAGACACATGTTCCCTGACAAGATGACTAGTTTTGGCTTCTACCTTTTAAAAGAAATATACATCTAGTCCTAGGGTTTTGTTCATAGATGGGTGATATTGTTTTTCGTATTTTACCTATAAGAATCTTCCCAGGCTGCTTGCCTTCTTTTGACAATAAATGGATACGATTCCATGGAATTGAAGTGTGTGTGTGTTTGTTTATGGCTTTGCTTAATGACCAAATTGCTGGTCCCAGATATAGACACCAAAAGAGGACTACCAGTAATTTAAGACAAGCTTGTAATAACAGGAATATTTCCTACCTGTGCCTTACTTGCTACCTCTTGCAAAGTAAATATTTTTGACCGAAACTTTGCATTCTTTTCTTGTGCTGTATTCAAAGATAGCTGTGTAGCCTAGATGAAAATAAGGTTAATTGTCTTTAGGAAAAAAATATTTTAAAACAGACAAGGGCTGGTCATCAATATATCTTGCATTTTACTTAATAGTTCTCTCCAGCACAACTCTTCATGTATTAGTGAAAAGCTTTCTTTTGTCGTGTAAGTTAAAAGTCAGACACTTATAAAAAGAAATTCTATATTTTTGACCCGCTGATTTTCTTCTTATACTTACTTGGACTTTTTCACTTAGCTTGGAAATGGTCTTGTCTCGTGATTCTACAAAAAAATTAAAATGCAGCTAGCTGTTTTAATCAGATATATAACTGTTTAATATTCTTCCCTAATAACAATAACAACACCAAAACAGATACAAAGCTTTTACACTCCAAGCAAGCTGTATTTTTGAGTAACACACTGAGGATATCTCTACAGATTACTGTACGCACTAACAAAATCCAAAATAACATTTTTCTGCATGTAGATTTAAACTTGCAAGCTGATTTCATGAGAGCATCTCCAAGGCATTTCCTGTAACATCTATACTTATATGAATTATAATGCTATCCTGTTAAATCTGCCACAGGTGGCCTAATTATTTTTTTTGAAGACATACATCAATAGATCACTTAGATAGCTGGTTCCATCATGAAACCATTTTAAAATTATTGTAATAGCAGATAAATAATGCAATCAGTTCATAAGAGGAGAGGTGGCTTCCTCCAATGAAGACCTACATTGGGGAAAGATATGATTTTCTTGATAATATTCTACCTCTGGAATTACAGTAGACTGAGTGGTTAATAACCAATTTCTCATTTATTTTATGAATGATTTTTCAAGTATATGATAATTTTCTGTCTTTCTAACAGGCAGCAATTAGTGTGATTTTTTAGTTTGCTCAGATATTCCTCCTGTATTCATTTCATTCTAAATGTGGACTAGCATTTATTTTTGTTTAAATATACAAGCCTTCTTATGTTTGAATTTTGTGCCTGATAAGATATATTTTCCACTTCACTGACTAAACTTCATGCAACTATCTTAGAACTTTGACCTATACTTACTTTGTTCAACAAAACTCTTTCTTTGTTTCCTTGAAAAACAGTTACAGCTTAAAAGAAGTTTAAAAAACAGTAATTAAGGATAATTCTAACAAACTTATCTATCATTGATCATCAAATGATAACCAAAGTTGGTTTAAGAAATATAAAACATCCAATGCTTTGATTCCAATACCTAGATCATTTTTAAGATGTACACATTCCTGCTCTAATTGAACTATTTTCTCTTGTTCTTTCTGTAATGTCTCCTGAGATAGCTGAATATTATGTCGTAGAATGTTACAGTCCTGCTGCAGAATTTGAACCTGTAATGACATTTGAAATATGCATTCTGTAAAATACAGGCATTTCTTAAAATAATTAAGAAATAGAAAAAACAAATAAGCTAAATGAAATGAAATTATTCAGTTGAATAGCTTATCATGTAGATTACTATCCTTGAGGATCAGGATGGGAATAACAATAAATTTGAAGAATAATTCAAGAACAGATTTGAATGCTGGCTCACGGCTACGTTTTTAAAATAAATAAAAAAAATCAGTGTTCAAAGGCAGCAATAAGTATGTATTGATGTCATGGGAAGAGGAAGATTTTGGGGGTGGGGGGAGAGGCTTAGGTAAATTTTGGAGGATTTTGATGGGTGGCAGGAATACCATGCTGTTGAAAATCATTGGGGTTGCTGTAAAATTTTGATTGTGTGATTTGGAAACTGCAAAATGGGGGCTGGAATTTGTTATCCACCTCAGATATGGACATCTATTTCTAAGGATAGCTGACCTAAAATCCATCATTTATACTAGGGGTGTCAAACTCAAGTCCCACAGGCCAGATTTGGCCCACGAGGTGCTTAGATCTGGCTCGTGGGCCTGCCCTGGAAACAGCAAAGAACTGGCTCATAGTGCCTCTGACTGAGAAAAGGAGCTTGGGAGGGCCGCATCCCAAGTTCCGATTTTGCTGGCAGAGCACTCAGGCCACCACAGGCGCTCCTGACACAAGTGACCACCCTGGCCACGCCCACCCCGCAGTCAAACACAACTCTGATGCGGGCCTCAATGAAATCGAGTTTGACAACCCTAATTTAGATTGATACCAATACTGTATCTGATGGATTATACTAATGGAATAAAATATGCACATATAATTTGTTCATTATTGAATTTAGTTGATTTTCATGAGGCAGCCTATATAACCTCCATCAAAATCTGGCATATTAGCCAGGTAATATAAGCTATGATGCTGGACAACTATCCAGTAGTCACATTCTATGATTACTTCTTGTTAGTTAAAAAAAAGCATATTTCCCAAATTGCAGCATGCTGACTATTCTCATAAACTGCACGAATATGAGTAACATAGGTGATCAAGGGCTGGCAAAGGAAGTTTTTCTTAATGGTAAACAATCATGTGCACATTACAAATAGCCTTCCAGCATCTGCTTAATAGCGGAAAAATGAACATTTATATACGTACATCAATGTTTGCATTAGAAAATTGTCTTAATAAGCCTGGTTGTAACAGCAATAGTAATTTAATATTCTGTTTTAATGGCATGCTGTTGCAACTTTACATATCAGCATCCTGCAAGCACCTTCTTTGGTCATATCCTTGCAGAAAGGCATCTATTACCTGCTTCCGTTCTTTTTCCACCATTGCTTCCATATCACGCATCTGATAAAGAAGGACAACCTGACCTTGTTCCAAAGACTCCCTTGAGCTGGACTCCTTGGATAATTTATCCATTATCTGAAAAAAAGGAATGCAAAGCAGAAAGGCAACACAGAAAACAAATCTGGGAGTTTCACTTTACAAATCACAATATAGTCGATGGATACGAAACTTAAGTTCTTAGTCTGAAATGGTTTTATCTTATCTTTGCAAAAATAATGCTGGCCTTTCAATTGAAAACCTCTTCCCAAATGATACAGGATCTCTTGGAGAATATTCTAAGAATCTTCAACTCATGCATTTCCTTGTGCCTATAGCCCTGTGTTATCTTGTACTTTTTAAAATGTACTACTCTCCAATTCTCTTCTGCTCTTACCTCTTGGAGTTTATTGTTCATTTTTTCTTTTGTTGCTCTCAATTCTTCAGCTGAAATAGTTACATCTCTCTACAAAGATCAAAGCAGAACCTTTAGACAACTCTAACAGAATGCACAAACTTTTTCAAAATACTTTTTATAGCTTTTAGCTGTGATGTTTGCAGTTCCAATAAACCTCTAGCATTTGGCTTTATGAGATACAGCATAGCTGTCTTAAAACCCCTTGTAGTACTCAAACCTCTATCTTTCCCATTAATTCATTTTTGAACCTACCACCTCAATATCATTTAAATCAATGAAATCTATGCAGCATACAGGTTTCACCAATATAGAATCATATAGAAATATGAAGAGAATTAAAAATGTATCTATAAATTGCAAAGTATATAGTCAATAAGCAAGGTTATTTGCCAGCAGTCTTTACTCATACCTTATTCCCCAATGCTCTCTGAAACAGATTGATTTTTTACTTGCTTTGGAAAAATCAAAATGTTATATTTACTACAGGTAATCCTTAGTTAATAACCATTTGTTTAGTGACAGTTTGAAATTACAATAGCCCCCCAAAATGTGACTTATAACCAGTCTTCACAGATGTACTCATTGTAGCATCTCCATGATCATGATTGTGATTCAGACACTTGGCAATCATTGCACATTTACAATGGTTGCAACATCCTATGATCATATGATTGCTATTTGTGACTTTTCCCGTCAACTTCCAACAAGCAAAGTCAATGGGGAAGCCAGCAGGAGGTCACACATTGCAGTCATATGATGTCTCATTTAACAAATAAGGTGTTTTTTTAACGACTGCAACTGGGACTGCTAGAACTGCCATTATAAGTTAGCATGGTCACTTTGCTTAACAGCTATTTTGGTTACGGATGGAATTGCTAGTCCTAATTATATTCATTAAACAAGGATAGTACCTGTATTCCACAAGTGTCCATGGGACATTGTCAAAAAAAAAAAGGGTGGGGGCTGCAAAGATAGAGTTGAAATACCACCTATTTTTAATATGCATTACCTATGGCACATAAAAAACAGGCAGAACCTTGATCACACTGCTGCAGCCATCATCTTTACTTTTTTGACCACTCATTGCCAATATCCCTGGACTATTCTTATTTTCTAGGGATATTTTATTCCACCACAGGGAAACTCCAAGAAAGAAGGCTTTCTTCCCTCATGGGATTGAGGATTTTTAGCACACCTTCTTTGCCTGAACTTTTTGGGCACGCAATTCTACCTAGACTAAGCAAAGCTGCATATAATTGGACTTCCAACCATACAGGGCTTTATAGTTGTGATCAGCAACCTCATTGGAATTGGGAAGCAAACCAGCAACCAATACAGCTCTGGAAATACTGCTGTAAAATGACAATAACAGGTTATTCCTGTATATAACAGATTATATGAGCTAGGGTGGCACAGTGGTTAGAGTGCAGTACTGCAGGCTACTTCTGCTGACTGCTGGCTGCCTGCAATTTGGCAGTTCAAATCTCACCAGGCTCAAGGTTGACTCAGCCTTCCATCCTTCTGAGGTGAGTAAAATGAGGACCCAGACTGTTGGGGCAATAGGCTGACTCTGTAAACTTAGAGAGGGCTGTAAAGCAATGTGAAGCGGTATGTAAGTCTAAGTGCTATTGCTATTGCTATTCCTGTTTCTCAGTGGTCCTCAAGGGCAGTCCCATGTAGAACAAGATACATAATCCAAGCATGAAGGGACATAACCATCATTGCACCACCCATTCCAACAAAGGCTGGAATTGGCACAAAACTGAAGAACAACTCTCATTGTTATTGCCCTGCTGGGCTTCTGATGAGAAGGAAGAGGAAATACAACCAGGGGCTTCTAAAGATTAACAGCCCTGGAAGGGGTGCTTCTAGTAAAATTGAAGCCTGTGACTCGATCCTGCCTGAGCCAGATCCAGCAAACCCCCAGGACTCCCTGCCTGAACCCATTCACAACCTCTCAGATTCTGAGTCATCCAATCAGTCCAAGCAGAAATATACTCAAAATGCAACATCACTTGCAGTGCTGGATACTGAATATCAGAGACACTGTCCAAGAAGTAGGCTAACATCGAATGAGTAATATTCCTTGGCTATACATCTGGGTGATGGCTCAGCGTAACTTATTCATTGGCCTCAATCCCTGAGAGAATATGCCAAGAATAACTTTTCAAGCCTCAGCTCTATCATGTTTGCCTTGTTCTGCCATGCTTTGAACTTTGGATTCCACCTCACCATGTCTATTATCTTCTCTCTTGGATTTGTGGGTTTTTTTTTAATTGGATTCAAAGTCTTGACCCAGGCCAAGCTTTGACCATCTTTAGCTATAGTTAAAAAAATTCTTTGCTTCTAAAAGTTCTGCCTGAGTTTCTCCAACATGTTATCTTGTTGGCTGGCAGCCAGCAGTGCTGGCACAGAAAATTCATTGCCATGGCTTCTACTTGTTCTAGCAGAAGCAGGAGAAACATCTTAAACTTCCAGAACAGCTCTTTCTGGAACAGCATGATCCCATCTAAAGCTAAATCTGATACCATCCCACATTCTCAGCAACATTCCCTCACCCCGTCAAAGGATGTTGGGAGACCAGGCTAATATGGCTGGGTAGGGCCAGTCCCTTAAGGGAAGGGCCTTAGTAAGGACAGTAGCAATTCTATCTTCCACAAGAAGGTATTTATCAGTCTGAGTCCAGCTTCTCCCCAGCTGCCTGCACCAGCCAAAAAGGGTAGGGATCCAGCCCAGAGCTGATAGAATTCATCTTATCAAGGACTATCTTTTTCATCAGGATCCTTAGGCTCAAATTCCTCTGGGATGACATTGCAAAACATCACCCCTCCTGTTTGACTTCTGTCCAGCTGGTTTTTACATTCAAGCAAATTTTATCTGCACAATGTCTAGCTATCAGGTCACTGCAGACCATTTCTAGTTCCTCTGGCTATCCTTCTCCAAACAATTCCAGGCGTCAGTGGACAGACAGCATTCCACAAATCCAGTAAAGACAGATAAATAATTGAATTCAACCCCTTTGCTACCATAGTGCAGACACAAACCTCCATTTATACTCCATTTATACTCCATTTATAATTGCCCATCAGATTTGCTCTGATTTCTTTCAGTATTACTCTAGAATATCTTTTGGCACTTTCTCAGTAAGCCTCTCCCAATCACTGAATAGATGAGATATCTTACTATGGGACTTCATTGCCTTCATATTCCCAAATATTAAGAAGGCCCTCTACAGAGTCATACTTCAGATTATTAGGAACACCTAAGCATTGGATTTCTAATACTAAATCCTATTTTGAATTGTTGAATATGTTCCTCTTGCCACTATTGCCAAACTTCACAGATTTTAATATTTGTGTGTGAATAAATAGATATATGTACACACACAACAGGTAGATTGTACCACAAAGCATTAAACCTAATAGTATTATAACTTCACACAATGAATTTGGTAATATGTCAGGAACTACACACTACAAAATCTGTAAAATTTAGGACAGGGCTAAAAAGCAAAGAATTTCAAATTAGCACAGGGAAACAAAAACATGTACTTGAAAGAATCAAGAGTATTTATCAGAGATCTGTAAGTCCCTACCATGGCATCCCATTCTGCTTAACTCTCCTCAAAGAGAATCCTTGCCATGAGCTACCTCACTTAAAGTGTACAAATAACATTGACTATCACCTCATTTTTTTCCTTTTAGAATGATGGTGATCTCATAGCCTTAATACATCGAATATTATAACCAATCCCGGTGGAATGAGTATGAGACAATAGCAATAGCACTTAGACTTATATACCGCTTCACAGTGCTTTACAGCCCTCTCTAAGCGGTTTACAGAGTCAGCCTATTGCCCCAACAATCTGGATCCTCATTTTACCCATCTTGGAAGGATGGAAGGCTGAGCCAACCTTGAGCCTGGTGAGATTTGAACTGCCAAACTGCAGTCAGTCAGCAGAAGTAGCTTGCACTCTAACCACTGCGCCACCGTGTCTCACTGCATTTTATATTCCTCTGTCCAGTGCAAGTAAAGCCATATGATTTCTGACTTCTCTGTAAATAGCAAGAAAAACAATACGAACAGTGGGAAAAACAAGTGGAGTCCTTGGTGTTTTCTGAGCCTGGTTGTTTGCTCGCAAACATTTCATTCATTCCAAAGGAACAAATTGCATCCCTCACAAAAACTGTATATAAAAACCCATTCACTTGCACTGATGAGGTTACCTAGTTGGGTAATGAAAGCTCAGAGACAACACCTGAGCTATATATATTCTCTTCTGTTAGGAGAATACTATGAGTTATTCCCTTTAAGTTAGGTCCGTGCAAATACCAAGCTACAATTATTTGCACTGGCTTAGTGTGCTATGTGGACCCAATTACTGTAGTTTGAAAACGATTAATGCAGATGAATGAACTGAGCCAATTCCGCCTTAGTAAAGAAATCATGGATTGCCACATGGTGTGAATTCAGATTTCGTGTTCCTTTTAAGACCAGTAATGTAGTAGCAGTGATTTACATTAAACTGGAGATTAAAGAAGTAACAGAAAGAAAAAAAATATACCTTTGTTGCAATTTCTAGGGCAGCGCTTAGCTTCTCCACTTGATCCCTGGATTTCTTTTCCTCTTCTCGAGACTCCTTCAGCTGCTGGCACAGCATCCTCCCTTCCATTTGCAGCACCTTTAGCTCCTCCATGTGCTCCTCCTGTATTGTATTCAGCCGCTGTTCCAAATTGGCTACAAAATAGTAAGGGAGGAATGGAGGCATAGTAATAGTCCATAAAAGTGCCCAAACTCCCCATAAGAGGCACTCAAAAAGGTTTATAAGATGAAAAAAAATTGCCCACTATCCAAAAGATACTTATTATGGTTTTATAGAAAGCATTATGCTGAACTGGAGATTTGGATCACAGATTATCCTGATGTAGTGCTATTTTGGATGGTAATAAGAGATCCTCTGTATATCCAATCATATAAAAACAGCAGTAACATTGACTGGGGCTCTCAAATTGCCTGTCCAAGCTCTCTTTATTGCAGTCCTCATAAATCCCTCAATTCAAGGTTGCTAAAAGCTGAAAGCACATTTTCTTGCCATGTTATGATGGGAAACAGTTATAACCATTACATATAAAAATACATATGCAGGCCTAAAGTAGGCAGATCACAGTTAAAAACACATAGGTTCCTTAAAATTCAACTTTTATAAAACTCTATATACCAACTTTGCATTCTTTGGTCCTCCTCGCAAATATTAATTGTAGTCCTTTGTTACCAAACTCCTACCAATTCCTGAACAGTGACTCATACAGAGGTGAATTGCTTTTCTACATAACTATATTATATTCATACTGTTTGGTTACCCAATAAAACTCTCAGGCTACACAAGCAACTGCTGCTTTGAAGACTACAGACTTGGCACAAAGGAAAGAAGATATACAGGTAGTCCTTGACTTACAAGTTTTCTTAGTGGCCATTCAAAGTTAGAACAGCACCAAAAAATGTGACTTGTGACCATTTTTCACACTTATGACCTCTGCAGCATCCCCACGTGATCAAAATTTAGATGCTTGACAACTGACTCAGTTGTAATGGCTGCATGCCCCAGGATCCTGTGATCCCCTTTTGCAACCTTCTGACAAGCAAAGTCAATGGGGGAACCAGATTCAACTTAACAACCATGTTACTAATTTAACAAGTGCACTGATTCACTTAACAAATGTGGCAAGAAAACATCATTAAACGGAGCAAAATTCACTGAACAAATTTCTCACTCAACAACATAAATTTTAGGATCAATTGTGGTCGTAAGTACAGGATTACCTATACAATTGAGCCCAACATTTCCATTGCTAAGCAAGGCAGTTGAGTTTTGCCTCCATGTAACAACCTTTCTTGCCACAGTTGCTAAGTGAATCACTGCAGTCATTAAGTTAGTAACATGACTGTCAAGTGGATCTGGCTTCTCCACCGATTGTGTCAGAAGGTCACAAAAGGTGATCACATGACCCCATGACACTGCAACTGTTTTAAATACATGTTCTGAATTTTGAACACATGACCAAGGAGACGCTTTAATGGTTGAAAGTGTGAATATGGTCATAAGCCACTTTTTTCAATGCTGCTATTGCAACTTTGAACAGCCACTAAATGAATGGTTTTAAGTCAAGGACTACCTCCAATAGATATGTACATTGCTATAGTTTTCCATTGTGTTTCTATGATACCTGCATGCTTTGGATTCAATTCTTTTTCTGTTTGTAATCGGAACATGTTCAGTTTTACGGTCTGGATGACACTCTCAAGCCGGCATATTCGATTCACCAGAGTTTCGCAGGTTCTCCACAGTGAGTTATTTGCTCCAACAAATGCTGTTCGAACTTGGACAGGGCTGATGGATTGGTGGTCCTCAGAGTGCACCAGGTGGATTGCAGGTAATTGTTCCATGCTGGAAAAAGACCAAAGGAATACCTACTTGTTTGGGATCATCATTGGCATCTCATCAATATGTAATGCAATTAGCTACAATCTGGAACACAACAAAGCCACAAAATCTATTTCTCATTTGTCAAATTATATTAATTCAGCAACCAGATTAAATTAGAATAGAAAAACCCTGTTGATAATTAAGTACTAAGGGAAGACGCAACATGAAGCTCAGAAAGAGAAAAGGATACGGAAGACAAACTCAGAATTAAACTAGAGTTCTTGAATAAATTTTCTTAAAAATAAGTCTCATTAAATTATTGTGGAACTTACTTCCAAGCAAAACATACCCAAGATTGTGCAAGATCCATTTAATCATACCTGGGTCTGCTCACTCCCATTTTATGCAGATCATTCAACAGTGCATTTGTCTCCTCTTCAACTACTTTCATTCTTTGGTTCAGCACAACAAAGGTTTCAGGAGCCGTTGGTTGGACATCCATTGGGGAAATTACTGGTCTTGCCATCACAATCTCAGCTTTCAACTAATATCTGATTTTAAAAAATTACCATACATTTAGAGGTAGTAGTTATGAGTGCTCTTAAAACCAACTCATTAATCACTGAAAAAGAAGCGATACTTGCAGAGAGAAATGATAAAATGGTTTTTATAATGTACATATATTTTAAAAGTAGTGAAAATAGATAATTTTACAGTCAGCTGCCACATGCTATATTGTGCATGTCAGGAGAATGGAATAGGTGTGATAAAAATTAGAGTTAGATAGTGCTAAGATTTCTGGTTTTTTTCCTCTGGTTTTTCTTTTAAATGTCAGTTGTAGGACACTATATTTTTATGTTTCCCGAAGAAACTGCTATCAAGTTTTAGCTTTTTTTACTCAGAAGCAGCTTCAAGAGCGAGGATTGGAGGTTACATGTGCCCCAAGCACCTTATCCTGTAATATGAGAATAGAGTATCTCTTTTCTTGAAGCCGAATTAAAAAGATAGGTTTTTCTAATGTTCTTTGATAATTTATTAAGTAATACAAGCCAATAAATGTCAATAGAGAATTTCCAAACAAAACTTCTGAAAAAAAGGAGAAGCAGCTAGTTTTTAATGAAACTGATTGTTTGCAGTAAATAATTTCACTATAAGCCTTCCTAGTCTTGAAGCAGAGACTTACAGTACAGAGATTTATATCCAAAGATACATTATCACTAACATCATGACGACTCGTCCCTTTTGTCCGATATACTGAGCCATCCAGATCTGACTTTAATTCTCTGGTGTACATTTCATTTGATATTAAATCCCTATCGAAGCCATGGGATTCACTCAAGATTCAGCTTGTTTTAAAAACTGACATATTTGACAATTCTGAAGTTTTCATTTTCCTTTAAAAAAAAAAAAGATCCAGAACTGATTAAAAATAACTCATTCTACTACATAGAAACTTAACAAAACTAAATGGCAGGATCAATCTTCTAAACTCTGGGGGCTGTTAATGCAGAAATTATAGAAGAATTGCCTTTTTTTAAACTGACATTTTGTTCTGTCTTACTTCTTGTATGACCCAGAAAAGTTCCTTTTCTGATATAAAAATATACATGAGCAAAGATTGCTCTTAATAACTGCAGCGAGTGGAAGATTGACCCTGTATAGAAGTAGGAAGACCCAATGCTATTGTGCTATTGGTGAGGGTGGGTTCCTCACATCCAGGAAAGCAATACTATAACTCAGCCAAGAAAAAAAAAGGCCAGTTGTGTTCATTCACCTTTTCATAGTGGTTAAGTCCTGCTCAATCCAGTAGGACTTGCCATCATGAACACAACCGCTTAGAGAGTGCTGTAAAGCACTATGAAGTGGCATACAAGTCTAGGTGCTATTGCTATTATTAATAAAGTCCGCACTATGTCAGCAGCTGAAAACATGATTAAAGATGTTGCCAGGAGGAAGAGAGTGCTTACTCTTCACATCAGGACTCAAAGGCACAGAGAAATAGCAACAGACTGGTAAGGAAATCAGATAACAGAATAACAGAGTTGGAAGGAACCTTGGAGGTCTTCTAGTCCAACCCCCTGGCCAAGAAGGAAACTTATACCATTTCAGACAAATTGTTGTCCAAGCTCTTCTTAAAAAACCTCCAGTGATGGAGCATCCACAACTTCTGGAGGCAAGCCATTCCACTGATTCATTGTTCTCACTTTCAGAAATTTTTTCCTTAGTTCTAGGTTGCTTCTCTCCTTGATTAGTTCCCATCCATTGCTTCTTGTCCTGCCCTCAGATGATTTTGGAGAATAGGTTGACACCCCCCCTTCTTTATGGCAGCACTATAAATATTGGATACTGCTATCATGTCATCCCTAGTCCTTCTTTTCATTAAACTAGACATTAAACTGGAATCAAGAAACGTCTTCCTCCGTGCCACCGGCTATACTTTTAGAGCAGCGTCTGTGCATGGGACACATCCCCCTTCAAAACTGATTACCAAAGGAGAGTCAGCATCTCAGTTGTCAAGCCTGCGTGCAACTGGGGGCTCCAGATTTAGCGCCGGTCATCTTCCCTTACAAAGGGAGGCTTTGTCGGCCTCGATAAGAACTGGCAGGCCGGAAGCCCCTTCGGATCTTAAGTCCTAAAAATGACCAAAAGGGAGATTAGTTAGGAAGGCGGGAGTTTCGTAGCATCAAAAGAAGCCTGGAGTTCATCTTTATTGCTTTCTCTCCGCCCACACCCTCAAGCGCTTCGGCCTGGCCCTGCAAGCCGCCCTCCTCAGCCCCTTTTCCAGGAGCGCAGGAGCTCACCCGACAGACCCTGATGTCCCGCGGCCTGGTTTCCATGGAGCTCGTCTTGCAGCTTCAAACTCACCCGCTTCCCGAGAGAGCGCCATCCCACGCACGCGCGTCCCATGTCCCGCTGCATTGTGGGATTCGTAGTCCCGCCGCTCCTGTGCCCTCGAGAGTTGTTCTTCAAAGGGAGGTGTTAGAAAGGGGACGCACGCAGGCAGGAGAAAGGAAAACGATCTGGGAGGAGAAAAGCATTCTGGGTGCTTGCAGGCTTTTGAAGGACGGGGCTGGTTTTGGGACGTGCGAGAGAAATGCTGCTATTTGCAGTTACGTTTTTCTTTTAAAGGGTTGCAGTTGCTTGTACGCTTCTGCAGCCTGGACAGAAGGAAGCAAAAGGTCTTCACAAAAGAAGAAAGCCGGAATGAAGGAAAGCTAAGACTGCGGTGTGGGAGTTTGCACTCTTATTTATCAGAAATTCTAAATCGACGTCCTCTTTTCTTTGCCTAGTATTCGTTTATTATTTCCCAAATTACACTCCTTTGTTCTTGAACTCCGGGGAAGCACTCCCCCTCTTTCTCCGTTCCTTTGAACAGATCAAGGTTCAAAGCTTTCCTATTTTGAAAGAATGACCACTGCATTTTTTTAAAGCATACAGTTCAAACATCAGTTAAAGAAAAGGTTACCATATTACAATAAATGCTATAATCCTATTAGATAACTTTCCATTAAAATTACAGGAGGATATTAAAAAAAAGTACAAGATGGGAATTTGTGAAATAAATACTGCACTGTTAACAGGAATCTGTAAATGTTGATTTTGTATAACATACATTGTAATTTTATAATGGTCACAGGGGGCAAGATTATTGGACTACTACTTTCACATAGTACCATTCAATAAAAAAGTGTCAACTAAATTTATGGCCTTAATCATGTGTGCTGCATACATCATTTCCTGCTTTATATTTTGTCACATTTGGATCAATATGCCAAGACAGAACAAAAGCCCTGGGCCTACGGTAGCAATTTAATACGAGGTATGATCTCTAATTTAGAGACCACTTTACAAGCCAACATACTGCATCCCACCAGGACATAAAGTTCATCACTTTGTGATGTCTACTTAATTCCCTTGTTTTCCCTGATCTGTTATTTTCTTGTATAGTCCACACTCTGAATTCAGAGACATCTCTTTATTTCTTCTTACCTGTCATCTGAAGATTGCACAGTTTTCTCTTCAGCTCTTAATTTTCCCTGGATCACCTCTGATGTTTACCAATCTTAGTTATTTCTATAGCTTGCTTTGATTGCTGCTTCTTATATTTAGTCAAGAAAAACCAAATGCACCAAATTCTTGGCTCAATAGTTGTAATTGTTGAAGGGATCTTGGACTCCTAGTGAGCAATCACTTAAATATGAGCCAGCAGTGTGATGCAGCTGCCAAAAAAGCCAACACAATCCTAGGCTGCATTAACAGAGGGGTAGAATCAAGTCACGTGAAGTGATGATACTTTATAATGCCACTCTTGGAATACTGCATCCAGGTTTGCTTGCAGTAAATTAAAAAAGATGTTGAGACTCTAGAAAGAGTGCAGAAAAGAGCAACAAAGATAATAAGGGGATTGGAGTCAAAAACATAAAAAACAGTTGCTGGAATTGGGTATGTCTAATGAAAAAAATTAGGGGTGATATAACAGTGTTCCAATATCTATGGAGTTGCCACAAAGAAGAAAGAGTCAAGCTATTCTCCAAAGCACCTGAAGGCAGGACAAGAAGCAATGCATGGAAACTAATCAAGGAGAGAAGCAACTTAGAACTAAGGAGAAATTTCCTGACAGCTAGAATAATGAATCAGTGGAAGAACTTGCCTCCAGAAATTATGAATTCTCCAACACTGGAAGTTTTTAAAGAAGCGATTGGACAACCATTTGTCTGAAATGGCATAGGATAGGTGTTACTGCCTGAGCAGGAAGTTGGACTAGAAGACCTCCAAGATTCCTTCCAATTCTGTTATTCTATTATTCTGTTATACCAGTGTGATTGGCATTCCATTTATCATGTGCTTCCAACTTCCTCTTTTGTAAACACTTGAACATCTTCCCACAGATTCCTCAGGCTCTGTATGCTAAATCCAATATTTAAATCTGTTTCTAATCTCTGTTATATATTCTTCTTCTAGGTTACATCTGACTGAGATTGGATTTCCTCTAGTTTTTTTCAGTTTGATGTGTATTTCTACAGCTAATAGCTGATGGACAGATTCACAGTCAGCACCTGACAGTATTTTGCACTTCCCACATATTCCTGTTCCATCTCTTGCTGCATAAGATCTGTTTGAGTATGCTGTTATCCTTTTGGAGATGTCCAAGTGTAAAGGCTGTAGGAATAATGGATTAATGACATATAACCATTTTCTACTCATAAGTCTATTAATCTTTGTCCTATATGACTGCAGGTTTCTACTTCAATTTTTTTTATTTAGAGAGAATATGTCAAATAAAAATGTACTATATTATAATTATATATATATATTAATGAATGGTGCAAGGATAAGTGTAAGACAGTAGTCTGTGAAATAAAATTGCATGTCATCTAAAACAAAACAACTAATATAACAGCAGAATCTGCAAATTGCATCTGGAGTGAAAAATAAATCAGAAGTTGTTATTTCTGGGAGCAGTTACACCTTATTTTTATTGCAGTAACACAAAAATTGACTATAGAGCAAGTGCTGTAATGAAGGGTTTCAAATCTTCTAGAAGGTGATTCACACAGAAGTTGTTTGGCTTTCCTGGGAATTTAAATATTAAGGGTAGACTATAAGTACACCCAATATCCATGTATAATTTATGATGTAAGAATGTGTGAGGAATGGTTTCAATCTTTTTGTCACCACATGGGTAGGTGCACTTGCTTAATGGGATTTTAGAGAATTTGCCTTGCAACACTGTAGATGGTAAGATATCAAATCTGGCTTTGAAAGATGCTATCTTTAGCCTGGGGAGAGCAAGTTTCTTTAAATATTTTGCTGGTTCTCAAGTGCCCTTATTTAGCACATATTTATTTTATTAATAGACTGCTCATCACCTGTTTTGGGTTATAAAAAAAGAACTGAAACTGAATTTAAACAAAACAAAAATAACAAAAATAGCAGCTGAGGACACTCAACTCCCCCCCTCAACTGTGAATTGAGCTTACCCATGCTATCAGGATCCTAAAGTTGCTAGCAAAGCCAGATTTTTAGTGCCTTGCAAAAGGCCAGCAGAGTTGGGTAAGTCTAATGTCATGACTCCAATGAAGAACGGATTGGAGCTGAGAAAGCCGAGATGCAATACGACCCTAGTTTTTTACTTACCTTACATTGATTGTGTTACAACGTTGGCGTTATGATGAAAATTCCTCAAATGACTGACATCGACTTCCTGACAAGGAGTGGTGCAATAATGATGACTCATGATTGGATGTCAACTGGTGGTGTTGTAATAATGGTGTGGGGCAAATGGGGGATGGGGTGAATTGTCGGGGTGCATGGACTCCATTGAACAGGGGAAAGGTGCAGTTACCATGTTTCTTTAATTTAAGGGTGTTGGATGTTAGGCAGCGAAGGCAGCCGGAAGGTGGTTATAGTAATTATGTTATTATCCAAGGTATAACATGTATAAATACAGCTCTGGGTTGCAACGAAAACCAGAGCTGACTTTAAACAGAATTTGATCACTGTTACCTGTTGTTGTGTGGGAGACGAATAAAAACTTCACTGAAGCTACACGGGTGAGTTGGTATCTTATTGTTCACCCCCTCAACATCGGACAAACGGCTGACATCTAATTTCTCGGGGATGATGTTCCAGAATATGGATGCCACAGCAGTAAAGCTCCCTTCCTGGGCCCTGACAGGTGACATTCTTTCACAGAAATGATCCAGGTGCAACTGGCACATGACATAAAACTGTGTTAAGGCCCCTTAGCCAGAGCTGCCACCTGTTCATCAAGCAGGAGTTATGGGTCCCAGATGAACCCCAGATTGCTCACAGGAGGCAGTGCAATCCCATCCAAAACAAGAGATGGAGGGTCCTCAGAACTAAGGGATCCTAAAACTGAAAGCCACTTGGTCTTATATGGATTGAGCTGAAGCTCATTGTTCCTCATATAGACTCCCCACAGTCCCCAGTCACAGAGACAGCATCATGTGAACAGTCTAGGGTGGAAGTATATAACTGGGTATCATCTGCACACTAATGATATCTTACCCAAAACCAACTCACCCAGTAGCTTAATGTAAATATTAAATAAAAGAGGAAAAAGTACTAAACTCTGCAGCACCCCACATAGCATAGGCTACAAGCTGGACCTCTCCTCTCCTATCAACACTGATTGGGTTTGGCTCTGAGGGAAAAGGAAGGACCAACAAAACACTGTGTGTTGTCCATGCCCAACCACCCAGCACCAGTCCAGAAGGATACCATTATTGATGGTACTGAATGCTGTTGAGAGATCAAAAGAAGCAAGGATGGACACACCAACCATCTCCTGCTTCCACCAGAGATCAGTGCCCTCTGAGTCCCATAGTTCATAGTTTGTTTAATAATGACAGTCAAATAAGCTAATTTCTTATTTCTTGTTTATTATTTTAAATGCTCCAGGTTGATTTCATGAATATTATGCTTAATTTTCTTTTACCAGATAAGAAAACTTCTGTTACATATAAAGTTGCAATGTTTTGCATTGTCAATATTTATAAACATTAAATTCCACTGAATAAAATGCTCATGGAAACTTCCTTAGGCAATTTTACAAGTTTGAAATTTAATTTTTTAAAATTTCCATTTGTTTCCTTAGTGGGCCATAATTTTGGAGTGACAAAATGGATATTAAAAATACAGATAGATTTGAGGGCTTCAGGAGGTGAGAAGGAGAAATAAATGTATATGCCATTATCAATGAAATTATACTGTTTAGTTATAGAATGTTAAGCTCTGCCTGTTATAGTACCTTAAGTTCTGTCTGTCTGTTATATAGCGGTTAGTACATATGGCATTTTAAGTTAGATGTGGTATACACCCTTTTGCATTTTATAAGAATATAAACAGTGCCCTGCTGGATTGGATCC